TCAAAAGAATTCTTTGAAGATGGGTATCAATAGAAGTGGATTTCAAAGGCTTTATTTCAGAATTGTATTTAGGAGGGTTGGCAAGTGTGTAAAATATCAAATTCAACTTAATTCATCATCTAATTGAAATATGTTTCCCATTGCCATGAAAGAGATTTAAGAAAATTTTTGTGAAATTAAGTTAAATTACACAAAGTTAATATTAATATTTAAATAGGAATGTTTTAGTTGCAAATATTTTTGATTAGGGTTGCCAGCTATTCGAAAAGTCATATCTATCTACTACATACATTAAGGCGGGTTAGTTTTTTTTGTATGTATGTGTAATTCTAATTTTCTGAAGAAACCGTGGGTTTAAAATCAGGTTTTGTGTCGTATTAAAAACAAGCTGTAAGTGGTATGAGAAATCCATTTCTGTACCTACTTTTTCTTAAAAGTTACGCCAGAGCACGCAAGAGTGAACACATTTTCTTACGTGTTAAAATAAGAAAAAGTATATTTTACTTTTCCCCGACATTTTTTTTTTATATAATTAAAATTCAATACAAAATGCATGAATATGTATATATATATGTACATATTCTATGTATAAGAAATAACTTTTTACACATTCCATTTTGATAAAAATTTGCAAAACTTCATGAAAAATTGCAAACTTTTTAATGAGAGTTTGTACATTATTTTACTAAAATTGAAAAGGCTATCAAACTACATAGTCGATTTTTGAATATTATTAAAAAGTTTGCAATTTTTAATAAAGTTGTGCAGAATTCTTCCAATTTTCGTACACATTAAATTTTGATTAAAAAGTGGAAACTGTGAAAAAATTAGAACTAGGTAGAGAAAAATCCTCATAGGGATGTACTATGAAGTATGGATATTCCCTTTCGGTAATTACTTTCGAGGCATTAATACTGGAGATAACCTTCGTCGATTCGACGAGTGTGCAACAAACAGTTCGCTGTCGCTTACCGGCGAATGCGCTAGAAAAGTAGTAATAAAATAAAAACAATTTGTAATTAAATAGAAAGTAATTAGTTTATTTGATAGGATCACATATGCATGCAAACACACTTACATTTGTATAGTGGTCCACAAAATAATTGGAGTATTTGTTCAAACTTTTTAATCAGAATCTTGTTTGTTCAACAATATAAATAAAAGACAATTGTCGAACATACTTTGTATGGGAAAAAAACGTGAAACACCTTCGCCCAAAAAAATTCTCAAAAATCAACGGGATTTTTTGCCAACTTGATACTTGCACTTTGTTTACTAGAATTAAGTGGGCTACAAAACTGCATACCAAAATGCTAAAGATTCTGGTTAAAAAGTTCGAAATTTTGGGGAAAATTTGCATAATTTTTTTAATTTTTGTACAAAGTTTGAAATGTACATTTACATGGTGTTTGTTGTATAACCAGCTAGACTTTTATAAAAGAAATAATAAACAAAAGACAAATAGCCAAAACTGTTCAAAGTATCCCACTCCTATTATTTTGTGGACAACTGTGTATGCAATAAACACAACGAAAAATTATATAATACATGAAAATAAAAAATTGTTTAAATGTTCGTCGAATCGACGAATGATTAGGGTTTATAGGGTTCGGGAGAACTTTAGCTTTCTAGAATTGAACAAAAATTCTAACTTTTTCACAATTATATTCAACAATTTTTATTGAGCTTGAGGCCGTTCTTAATGAAAAACCTATTGTGGAAAAGCAACCATAATTTGAAAAAATGGTAGAAGTGATAGCTATTTCGGAAATCACCACATTTCCCCATCAGACTTCTTTCAGTAGGATCCACATTTCTATTTCACTTTATTGTAAGTTTAGATAAATATTTATTAAAAGTTTTATAAAATTTAGGTTTGCATTTGCGACAAAAGTGCAAAGTTAAAGTGGAACCCGGATTATTTGAATGGATGGCATGGTATCCTGAAGGTGTTCCGGATTGGCTGGGTATATCCGAGTTAGTGAAGGCCGATTACAACGTGGATATTAATTATCAACCATTTATGACTGCAAATAAGTTGAACGATTGCATCAAAGAAACAACCGAAGAGTTTTATACGCGTAACTACGAGATTATGCGTAAAATTATTGAAACAACAAGTATGTTCAAAATCAAACATAAAAGAAGTAGATTAAAAGCAAATGATTTTCATTTTATAGAGGGTAACGTATTGGTTGTGGCCCATGCAACAACTCTCGATACTTGCACACGTCAGTTAATTGGTGCATCACCACGTAGTACGAATGAATTGCGCCAAGTTATTCACAAAATACCATATTGCAGCCTAGGGACTGTAGAGGAAGTGGATGCTGGCGTCTGGAAATTTGTAGAACCTGAATGTTTACCCGTGACTCATTCAAAAAATCCTCGCTTCGAATGGAATGCACTTACTGCCACATAGTGTTCGTGCTTTGATGAGATGCTGCTGGTTGCTGAAAATCGCGTGGAGAAGGTATTGTGAAGAAATGTTCATTAAAATAATTTAAACCAAATTAATGATTTTCTTCGAATTATAAAAGGAGAGAATTGAAACTAATTAAGAATTCCTTCAAGGATAATACAAATTCTTGTACTGACTCCTATTTTCGACTACACATAGCCTTGCCATCGTTTAAATGCTATTATGAAATTCAGAAGTAAATTTACTTTAATGATTTATAATCGAAAACGCGATAATAAAGCTCTGTTTGCGCTCATCAAAAATAAACCTATATTTATTTATTAGCCTTTCAAAGAGAAGAAATGTCACTTAATATACATGATGCTTACAATTTCTAATAAATACTATTTATTCTGAACACAACAGACTTAATCTAAATCGAAATAAATTTAAAGAATGATTAGCAATTTACGCATTGTAATATTTTATATAAAATTGCAAATGTTTAGGAAATGGTTGATTTACGATACAATAGAAACTGACATACTGCAAATGTTTACGCGTATTTAAATACAAGTAGTGCAAGAAATAAATGTATATAAAGTTTGTTCGTTTAAATATTAAATTAAGAATTTTAATAACCCAGCACAAATGAAGGCCAATAAATATAAATAATACCGCTAATAGCTTGAGTCATTGAATATTTTTACAAGGTTTTAACCCGTATGCGGGTTTAAAAATGATAAATTAACTTTTAACAAATTGAGAGATGAGTTTATCTGAAGAATCTGAAATTTAGCAACCATCAATTTAACCTACCATACTTTTAATGGGCTTTTTTTTTAATACGTTAACGCCATATAATATAATGTTTGATATTGAGTGAAATTTGACTAGCTCTTTTGCGTCATACTACTTTAAACCAGTTAATTGCTTCTAAAATGACTTGTGCCATTCGATGTGTTTTTTACTACTGATCTTAAATAAAATTTTGAGTTAAACTTAGCACCACGACCGCCTGAGTTCTACTCAAAACAAAGCACTAACTACAAAATTTAAGTGATACAGTTTTAAACGAATGGTAGACTGCTATAATAGAGCCAAGTGTAGCGCGATTAATAGTGAAGTTAGGCTTCTTAATTGCGAGTTTTAAATACCTCAAATCTATTTATAAATTAATTCAAGATCAAGAGGAGTAGCCTTTTGTTCATTGAAAGCCACCATAGCTTAACACAATATTATGTCGGCTTTCTCATCAATGTGCGTAAGTTCAAGACATTTGTTAAATTGTTGGAAACTGCTTAATTGAAACAAATGTTTTACATACAGTAATATAAAACAATTGGATATCTTAAATTCCTTTTTGTTTATTAGTGTCAATATTTCGCCTTTAATCTAAAGGCGTCTTCTCTTCTTCTTCTTCTTTTTGGCGCTGCAACCGCCTACGCGATTTTGGCCGAGTTCAGCAAAGCACGCCAGTCGGTTCTCCTCTGTGCCAAGTGACGCCAATTGGAAACGCCAAGTGAAGCCAAGTCCTTCTCCACCTGATATTTCCATCGTCTGCGGTACTCGCCGTCGCCAACGCGTAAAGGCCCGTAAATCTTCCGCAAAATCTTTCTCTCAAACACTCCAAGAGCCGCCTCATCGGATGTTGTCATTGTCCGTTTATTGTTATTATTTATTATTATAAATTGTAAAATTAACTAGTCTTCTCGGTGATAATGGCTATTCAGATAACCTTAAAATAAAAAAACATTATCTGTGTACAAAATTTCATCAAAATCGTTAGAGCCATTTCCGGGAAACCCTATGCATATATATATATATATATATATATACAAGAATTGCTCGTTTAATGTAATAAGATACATAAAAGTTCAATATGGTATTTATTTTGACGTTTCGATCTTTAGCATGCTAATTTGTGATGGCTTTTCTTCTTTTTTAAACTTGTGTCTTAAATAAAGCGATTTGGCTCTGCCAACAGTTCATTTTGCCTTTCAACGGCCCGACAAGACAAAGTCGTCGAAATATCTTCATCCAACGTTGTGGATAATTTTTCCATAAAATTTGCCTGCCCATCTGAAGGCAGTCCTGAGTTCCGGAAAATCGTGGTCTTTTTGTTTCCCGGCTTCCCTACTTGTCTGCGGACGTTCTTCCTCCGACTCACTAACGTTGCAACTTTCTTCAGCTCCAAAACTTTTGGAATTTATCATGCCCTCAACAGCTGCGAAACGCCCCTTCAACATTTAACAATGTAGTTAGTTCTTTCCACTCTTCCTCAACAGATACTGTGTCGCCTTTCGAAAAAAATTATTTTTATATTTAGGCGAAGAGATACTCAATAGTAATATCGGCGGGTTTTGTGCTCTCGTAAGTATGTGCTGTAAAGATGTGGCCTTTCATTAAAAATAGCGCCTAAAGTACCGCTGAGAGAAAATGGTACCATTTTTTTACCTAAGTATTAAATTGGCAACCGTAACTGCGCGTCATAAATTTACAAACGTCAAGTTTTAAGTTACACATATAATAATATACGTTTATTAATTCTAATAATATAGGGTAATATGCATGATTCAATAATAATTAATTATTTATGTACATGGAAAATATCACATTAAAATAAGGTTTGTTCTTAATACAGTTATATTGTATATAAATATACATATAGCGTCGCCTGTATGCCAGAAACATGAATGTGCAAAAATGAAAACTTTGAGAAATCGAGTTTGACGGTTTTTTGTTTACGAGACTTAACTCTATATTTATGCAATTGAAATTGTAAAATATGTGGTTTCCCTGTACGCATGGTATTCTGGGTTTTGGTATAACATAGAACATCCAAAGGCTAATCAACTCAACCCAATAACTCAAAACTGATAAATTTACACATTCATGCTTTTGGCATAAGGGTGACGATATGTATATTTACATATGTATGTGTACGTACACCATGGCTTTTTTAAACCTCATGAAAAACTGCTTATATCTTTGATTCAATTGAAAAAGTACAGCTAATGTAACGTCCTTGAGCGCTAGTACAAGTTAATGAAATTTTCGTTAACCACAGATGCACTTTGAACTGTAGGCAAATGCGAGCTTTTTCAAACTCAACTTTTCTTGTAGCGATATTAAGCCACAATTAGGGCATACATAATGTGACCAACCGTTCTTCTTTCGGAAGTACAGTACTTCTTTTTTAGCTCTTGTACTTCGTACTTCGTGTACAGCCAAATGTACTTCTTTGCAATATTTTGTACTTTAGGTTCTGTGCTTGCCCGATCTTCTGGACGAACATCACAAGGCCTGCGCGATAAATTCAATGGCATCATACTTGCGCAGCTGCAAAGGGCTCTGGAGGTGTCGTGCAATTGGTTGGCTCCTATTTATGCTAAATGCGTGTTGACCGGGTACATCCCCAAGGCTTCGAGGGTGGCGTATATCCCGAAGGCCGGAAAACCTATACTTGCGCTTAACGTCACGTTTCCCAGCTGCAGCAAAAGATTTTATAGGGCACTTTAAACCAGAGCTTCTTAAAGTGGGTTCCGTAGAAAAGTCACCGGGGTTCCGCGAAATTAATTTTGGTATGAATAAGCACGGCGGTCGGTTTGAGTTCCACACAGAAAGAAAATTTCTATAAACAGCTTGACTGAGACGCAATTATCTATTTTCAAGTGTACATATCGTGACCTGAAATTCAAAAGGACGTAACAAACATCATCGCTGAAATTCAAAAAGTCATAACTAATAAAAAATTCAAAATTCACTTAAGTGATGGATTTCATCGAATTACAACGATATGTACTCGTACTTAGAATCATGATAAAAATATAGCAAGGTAGAACCGTTCTCTCAATTTGTCGGCCATGATTATTTTTTGAAGTTTGCCAACATTTTAAAATCATATAAAAGTGAAAAGAAAAAAATGAAATTGTTCGAAATTGTTGCTTGAGATTGAAAATGGAAATGTGTGTGTGAGTTTGTGAGTAAATTTAAAAATTAAATTGTTTGGAAACGTCAAGAATTTTAAAAGTGACTCTCAGCGGTTCTACCTTACTATATTTTTATCATGCTTAGAATGATTGCCGTATTGAGTGCCATAGCCTGCAAACCATTTTTTCAGAGTATTCTGAATAGTAGAGAAATTTTAAAGAATTCGTAAAGATATCATCCGATTTTTTTGCCGAATTTTCTAAAATTAAATAAACTGTGCACCCTTCGATTCTTTTACGAAATTTCGGAAGAAAATCGTTAAATCAATGAAAGTAATGCTGCTATGTGGAGAATTTCCAGCAGATTTTTTTCAGAATTTTCTTTATATTTCGTACAGAAATTTCTTTAAGAGCTCGTGTCAACCGCTTCATATAATTTTCTTTGAAGATTCGTAAACAAATCGTTACAGAAATAAGATACTCCTACATATTTCGTTAAAATTTCGGGAACTTTGGGTTGCAGGGATACCTACATAAGAGCGGTAAGCTTGCGCTTGACAGCTTGTTTTTTCTCACTGGTATGTTGTTGTTACTGTAGCGGCTACAACAACCCCGTCCAGATCGGTTAATATCTCAGTCATTGTCGTCAAGTTCCACTAACGGCTGCCCTAAGAAGCGTGCAGCCTCAATAGGGTCGTTCCACAGGGACAAAGGCGTTAGGGTTATCGGGTTTTCCGGGCATGCGAAGAGATGTTTCGAGTCGTGAGGGGTCTCTCCGCATGCCGGACACTCATTTGGCACATCCGCGTTTAGTCTGCTCAGGTATGAGTTTAACCTGCTGCAGTAGCCAGAGCGTAGGTGGGCTATTGTGGTTCTTGTCTCCCGAGGCAGATGGTCGTAGTAATATCTGATTGGTACAAAATCCATTTACGAAGCATTCATAGATCTTCAGAGTACTTCGACATTGAAACACACGTTTGAATCTGTGTCTCTGAAAGAGTTTTGGTTTACTGTTCAGAGTAAATATCATGAAGTCACTAAAAATGCCCTCTTAACTTTGCTTCCTTCTTTCGAAACGTACTCTGTCAACAGGGTATTCAGCTTACACATGTACAAAAAACAAATTCAAGTCGAAATTAGATGCTACCCCAGAAATGTTCATACAGCTTTCAGACATTATATCGAACTACTATTTTATACAATACCTAATTAATAACAGTGAAACAATTTCATTCTTTACATTAAAATTTAAAATATGTGTACTATTTCTAGTAGAAGTTTTTATTCATATATAAATTGCACTGCCTTTGATTTTTAGTAATTTAATGATGGGCTCCATAAAATGAATGGTGTTTAGTAAGGGTTACATTATCTTCAAAGTTTAAGGACCCCTGCTTAAACAACCGTTTGTAGCGCCAGATATGAGTGCCATACAAAAATGCCGCTCAGCCACTCAGAAATGCCGCTCAGAGCATGGCCACTTCAATAGTTTTTCATATGTTTTAATTAAGCGGCTCAGCCGCTCGCCGCTTTGCCGCTCGTTGCGTGGCCTCGGCCTAAGAGGGAAGCATTTCGACTCGCACTTCTTAACTAACACTGAGCTCTCAGGGATCGCATTCGGCGGCGTTTCGTCGACTAAATCGAGGTTCTCCGTTCAGTGGTATTACAAAGGACAATCACTTAATTATCTAAGTGTGTTCCTGGGGGCCTGGGGCAACCACTTGAACGTGGGTTAAACCTGTACTTCTTCCAGCTATGAAATAGTTGGTCACATTAGACATACATGCATTAAAAGACGAACTAGACAATTCTGGTTTTCTAGGTCGGGAAGCTTTACTTTTGATGGCTCCAACGAATTTAACCGATTTGTGCCATAGGTGTTTCAAAAACGAGCCACTCTAAATTAGATGGAAAACGTATGGCGAAGGTTAGTTTACAAAATGTACTTATCAGGCAATTCATTAAACGATCTGCAATCTCCTTGTTTTTCCATATATTTTAATTAAGCCACTGTGCACTGTTCAAATGAATGAAAAACAAGCATTTTTTCGTATTGTTTGACACAAAAACCGCATAATATTACTATGAGAAGAGTATGTTATC